CTAAATATCGAACAACTGCGTAGTGCTGTAAACACCAAGAAAGGGCAAGAGCACTTTAAACTAAAAGACAAGAAGATACCAATTGGTAAAAATATTCATTAACACATCCAGCTTAGATTTCAGAGGACAGTCTCATTCCACCAGAATATTGAATGTCATTTAGGGGAAATGTATCTTGAAAGCCTTCTGATCTAAAGATGGAAAAGGATTGGTTGTGGTAGAGTTGTTTTGGGGGAGACTTGAACAGCACGTGCTCAAAATATTCAGTCTCCAGCACTGTTTTTTAGTCCCTTTTTAATCAGCACAGAGAAATGAAATCATAAAACAGTATGAAGGAAACAAAACAGCCAGTCTCTTGGTTATATGTTTTGTCAGTCCCCTGCTGGTACCTTGGCTTAGAATTATTTGTGTTCATTCCCAGTGTCTCATATCTTACCAGGTCCAGTAAAATTCTAGCATATATTTTTTGTATTGTAGTTAGGTACGTTGTACTCAGACTGAAATACAATATTCACAACTTCGTGATAGCCACGAGATTCCCTTTAATATGGATTCCAGAGGTAAATTCTGCACCCCAATGACAGGGAGGTATTATTCCCCTTTTAAAATGACCTTGCCTTTCATTCAGACCTCAGTGGTCAATCTAAATTGTGTTGCTCCAATAAAATGTAGTTAGCTGATGAGTCCAGAGACGTTATTTTTTCTTCCCTAGGCATAGCCTGCAGCTTTAGTTTGTAGTGGTTTAGCTGGCACTGATAGAGTGATCTCTGCATTGGAAAAAACAGATTGGCATGATGGGCTTGAACAGTTTAGCAGGCTGGAGGCAGGGAAGCAGGAGTTTACAAGCAAATTGGTTTAAGTACAGATTGTTTCGTTTCTGAGAATGGCAGCAGGGTGCTTCGAAGTTGCATGCTGCTGCAGCTGTTTAGTCATTAGCTGAAGAAAAGAAGGAAAAAACATAAGACAAGACAAAGGAGCAATCGTTGAGTAGCAACAAAATATTTCAAAATAGGATAAAAAAGCTTTAAAGGGCATCTCTTTGCATGGTAGGTGACAAGAGGTGAGATTGGCAAGGTAAATAGAGAAAACTATATAGACTCAGAGAAAGCACCGTCTATTCTAAACCATAAAATTTGCATTTAACACCCGGAACTGGGCATCCATATAGTAGCCATGGGGATAGCGCAGAGTGAGCAGTGTAAATGTGAAAACAGAGCAAACCCAAGTAGAGTTAAATCGGTATGATCTGCTGTGAGCTTATGAACAGCAGGACTGGGACAGGGCTCACACAGTGCCCCGTACGGCTGTCCCTGAGATCAACAACAGATCAAGACATTACAGTGACGTTGCTGTATTTTGGATCAACTTCAGCCTTTCACCAGGGAAGGCGTAAACTTCCCTACTCACAGTCCCTGCTATGGAACTGAGATGTCATTTAAAGATTAGCTGAGATGTTATTTCTATCAGGCACCCTCAAAGCCTGGCCATTAGCAGCAAATTGGCTGTGAATAGTTTCAGAGCACCTTGTGTTCTGACAGACAGCTTACAGGTGAGGGACTTCCTGAACCAGAGGTGATAAGCTTACATTTAGTAATCCCTTACAGAATTTTCTCTCCTTATTTATCCAGACATTTTTTAAACCCATATAAAAATTTAGCATCCACAACACCTCATGACAAGGGTGAAAAGCAATCTCCTTATGTATGTTTTTCACTTGCCATCAACTAAATTTATTCTATAACCCCTCATTGTCTTATGGAGAGAGCCAGTGCATAATTCCCTGTTCATATTTTCTACAGTGAAGTAATAGCAGAAGGAAATAATCTCCTTGTGTGTCCATGAGTATCTAATTTTGACCACGACAGACTGGCTTTGAGGGCATGTCAGACAGTGGGTCACAAATATTCTGTTGCTGCACAGCTGGAACAATGAGATGGTAGAAATCAGGACATCTCAAAGACCCTCTATTTTCTGCCTTTTTTTTTTCCTCTTCCCTCCATTTTCCAGACTTTATTTTGCAACTGATCTGTCTTACAACACCAACATAACTTGCAGGTGTTTCATGTCAGTGCTATTTCTGACCATGTTGGCTGAAGCTTCTATTACATAGGGATAAAGGCACATACACTTTTTATCACGAGATGATAATAACAGAAGCTTAAGTTTCACTGATTTGTTGTCAATGTCATAACTTGCCTATGAATAGCATCATAACATAGTCATAGAAGCATAGCTAATTGAAGTCCATTTTGGTGAAACTAGAAGAGAAATTTGCCTCTTGTTTAACAGCATTAATTTACTGTGTTCCAAAGTAAGGACCAATAAGCAAACAAACCAAAATAAGCTTTTGAGTTCATTCAGCAGAGAAAGAATTATGACATGAAGGATAATGTCTCCCTATTTTATGATACCTCTGGCAATAATATATTGAAATTGTTACGAAGCTATGATCATATCAGAGACATCAAGCAAGGAAACAACCCCAACAAAACTCAATTTCACGTATATGCCTTCACATGAGAGACAAATCAATCCATTCTCGTAAATAATATACAAAATCCCTTGGATAGCTCAAAATTCAATACACTTATTAGAATGTCACTAGAGCCCTGGGAATGAAGTGCATAAAAACATAGGTGGAAAAAATCATCCAAGCCCCATCGTTTCAAAAATTCTGAGATAAGAAGTGGTCATTAAAGACTCTGTTAGATTTTATTGGAGGGAAGGGATTTAACACACTACATGGATCCCACTCTTGTTGGTCAGCTGTGTTTATTGAGAGATTACTAAGTTTTATGCAAGGTAGATGAAATTGGATGAGGATGTGGTCAAGACGGGATTAGACATACAATTTATGAGGCTGTTTGGGCAATGCAGACAGTAAATCTTTTGTAGTCATTTATAATATCATTTTTCACCGATTTGGATAGCCTTTGTGACTTAGCAGGTCATATATAAAGATCTTTTTCTAAATATAAGGCCCTCCTTTTTGTCTTTCTATCTTTATGGCATGTTGGTGTCCCAATATGAAAGTGCTACACAACAAGTTCTAAGTATCAAAATTACAAGGTGTTACACGGGATACATCCCTACATCCACAAAACTCATCATGTGCATATTTTGCCTCCAAACATCTGTTGTTTATTGATTTTCCAGTAATCCTGAGTCCAGAGGTCCCCAGTTTCTTTTGGTTCTCCTTCCTTTCTCAAACCTCATCCCTGGTGACTCAATCCCCATTAAGCCACCTTGTCCTCCAACCAAGGCTGCCTCTGGAGTGAGTGTTCTGCTTTTGCTCACCTAAATCTTCACCAACATTACCACCACTTTTGCACAGGTAAAGGAAAGTGAAGGTGTCATCCAGTCCCACATTAGAAATGGGACTTTGTGCAGACAGTGGAGCCGAGAGAGGCACCAAACTGAATTGTACTGCGTGTTTTTAAATAAACTCGGAAAACTGCATCCTATGCTGAGCATATGACTGCCATAATAGTTTGTCTCATAACAAGACTGTTAGCCAGAAGGGAAAACGAAATTGTAGTTTTTTATATGTGTAACTAAGCATGCCTGGACAGAAGGATGCATTTGGCGTAATTTGAAACACCGATGTGTCTCAATGAAAGCTCCCCCCAGGGCTCTGGGAATACCCCACTCGGTGCAGTTTGGGGAGCTGGAACAAACCCTGCATGTCATGAGCAGAAGTTAGAGTAACAAGTGAACTACTGGAGTATTTTAGGCACAAATAAACTTGTTTTGACAATGACAAGCCCGTCAGGAACTGTGATTCTGCCTCCTGGAGACGTTAAAGCAAATGAGATGATTCCTGCTAAGTAGCCACCTTGGGAAGAATGATCTTATTTTTATTATTTTTAAATAGGAAGCTTTTAAATACAGATTCAAGAGGACTGAGTGGAGCTAATGCATCAGGAGCACAGAATGCTGATTCTTTATCATAATAAAACCACTGTTATGAATGAGAGAAGGAACAAATCACACCAGCGGAACTGGACAGCCTATCTTGGTGGTTTGCTTCTCCACTTTGGATTAGAGTTCCTACTATCTTCACAGTCCATTTAACCAAGTCTAAGTTCTTCCTTTCACTGCCTGCCATCCTAATCTATGTAAACCAGCTCAGTCAGGCATTTTTCATTGAATTAATACATATTAATGGGCAGTAATACAGTTGTACTATCGCATACATTTTCTTGAAGTACAATTTTCCATCTAAACCATTTTATTCGCATTGCTGCATGGTAACTGCATCCACAATAATATCTTTAGTGATTATTCATTACAGGAATAATACAGCTGCACCAAACACTATATTTTAGTGGTCTTATTTTTTTTTTTTTTTTTTTACGGCAGATGAAATTATATTTGTAGACTTAATAGTATTGTTGTCCTTAACTGAAGGAAATAATTTTCTGCTCAGGTATTGGGGAAAGCAGGGAACAGGTAGAAATCAGGTATCTTTCATGTATCTATAAAAAGAAATTGATTTTAGGAATCACAGAAACATTAAAGTTGGAAAAGACCCCCAAGACATCGAGTCCAACCATTGACCAAACACCACCAGGTCAACTAAACCACAGCACTAAGAGCCACATCCAGTCGTTTCTTGAACACCTTCAGGTGCCGTGACTCCACCACCTCCCTGGACAGTCTGTTCCAAGGCCTGGCCATCCTTTTGAGAGAGCTCGACCCACACCTGACTACAACCTCCTTTCAGGTAGTTGTAGAGAGTGATGAGGTCTCCCCTGATCCTCTTCTTCTCTGGACTAAACACCCCCAGCTTCCTCTGCCACTCCTCATATGACTCTCCAGACTCTGCCCAGCTCCACTGCCCTTCTCTGGACACACTCCAGCACCTCAATGCCTTTCTTCTTGTAGGGAGGGGTCCAAAACTGGACACAGCACTTGAGGTGTCACCTCACCAGTGCCCAGTACAGGAGAACAATCACTCCCCTGGTCCTGTTGGCCACACTATTTTTGATCTTCTTGACTACCTGGGCACACTGCTGGCTCTTGCTCACCTGCTGTTGACCAGCAACCCCCAGGTCCTTTTCCTCTGAGTCTCTTTCTAGCTGCTCTGTCTCAAGCCTGGAGTGTTCCACGGAGTTGTTGTGACGTAAGGGCAGGACCTGACACTTCACCTTGTTGAATCACATACCATTGGCCTTGGCCCATCAATTCAGCCTGTCCAGATCCCTCTGCAGAGCCTTCCTAACCTCCAGCAGATCAATGTTCCCACTCGACTTAATGTCATCTATGAGGATGACAGAAGAGATAGAAAACAGTGGGTGAGTGTTTGGACTATGATCGACTCCATGATTTGGATGTAGAGATCATGAAGCACATGAGATGTAGTAAATACAATAGGTTCCAAATGTTATTATACATTGGGCAAAACTGAAACTTAGATTAGATGATTGGAAAGTTGTCTAGTAGATACATAACAGACTCCCATTGGGGTTTACATGTCTTTACACATCTCGCAGACATCTGTGATTTAACCCAGATAGAACTGGGTATAAATGAGGGGCAATTGCTGTTAATGGTCAAACACTGCTCATGCAATGCACATGGAATAAGCAGATGTTGGATGATCTTCTGTTTCCCTGGATATTAATACTATGTGATGGAGACATAAGCAGGTAAAGAACGTGGTGAAAGTAAATTTGCCTTCAATTTATGCTGAGTGATCTTTTCTCTGGTCTCACCTTTCTCCTGCTGCCCTGTGCAACGCCCTCACTCTGTCACGGGGTACCCCTGGGAACACAGGCAGACTGTCAGCATGCTTCAGTCAATTTGCTGCCTCAGTAGGAAAAAACAGAGATACAAGACACCATGTGGAACAAGATTGATGGGATAATAATGTGTGTCCATCTTTCTCACTGGAAAACTTCATCATCAATTATTGTGTCAGCTGTAATTGTGTTGTCTGTTGAGGAGAAGCAGACAATGGTATTGTTCTAACAAGGCAGGAGGCTCTGTCCTTTCCTATCATGATGCAATAGCTTTCAGAGAGGAATAAAGGCATCTCTTGAAATCTTAGCTGCAACGAAACTGGCAAACCATAATTAGCTACAGCAAAATAATTAGCAACATAAACACCTTCGGGCAATAAGCAATTCCAGTTACTCCTACAGAGGCAATTTGACCTCACTTAATGTCTATTATACACAACTTTGTAGAGTCTTATTGCTACTATAGTGCCAAGACCTGTGGGATCTGCCAAAGTTTGTTTCCATCACTTACTGAGGAAACAGCAGTTCTACAGTTGCTTAGGAGATTAATTAGCTTGTCAAATAATTAAGTGGACAGCCTGTAATGGAGGTTCCCATTTCATAACTGATTTATCACTTCAGAAGCTCCACAGATTTAGCTTCTTTACATGAAGACTTCCATACCAGGAGAAAAATATTAGGACAGGGCTGAGTTGAGGGGAGCTCTACATACATTTCTGGACTTACTAGTCCAGGATTTTTTTCTGATTTTGCCCTGGGTTTGTGAGGAACCTGATAGTGATGCCATAAATCCTACATATATTTCACAGAAACTTTTAGGGCTACATGACCATTTTCATTTTAATGATAGCAGATTAACATTGGCTAAGTGACAAGATGAGATTTTTAGAATGAACTTCTGCTGCAGTGAGTGTTAAAATTGTTTGATCATCTGCTGGTCTAATGATTAGGTCATGATTTTGGCAGACCCAGTTTCAGCTACCTCCTCTGTATTCAGTGATGAGCTAAGCACCAAGTGAATTAACACTTTTGATGTACACTGGTTCATCTTTTTTTTCCCTTGAAAGTATTTGCAATACTTAAAAGACTTTGAGATTTGCAGCACTGAATCTCCAAAGTTTCACTGTTGTATTAGTTATCTGAGGTGGAAGGCAATAAATAAAAATATTGTGTCTTATTTACCTCACCCCGAACTTAGGTCTTCATGTGAAAGTGTGACATAGGACTCTGAAGGCTGGCTACACTAGTACGATAAGATCATTTTCTTTGATTTTCTTAGAGGAATATGTATTACTTATATTAATATGCTGACATTTTGTTGCAGCACACATGAAAAATCCTGTCTCTTTGCCTGTCAAAGACCTTCCCGGGAAAACAGTTGTGCTAACCTGTTTAAAGAAAGCATCTACCAGGATATTACAATCCTAGGTGAACAGAAAAATGCATCAAGAAATAAAGGCAAGACTGGATTTTGCATCTGCATGTGTTCTGAGGGGACTTTGATCTGGGCCAGTTTATTCCAGCCTCCAGTTAACATGAATAATTGTTTTGTTTCAGGCTAGAAACTCTTGACTATCAATAAAATATAGTTAGTGTAGTCAGCTTCCTGCGGGGTACTTAATGATCCATAAAACTGTTTGAAGGGAAGCTGCCAACCTGATTTTGGCCCAACCTGTGACTTTAGTTTTGATGTATCTATGTTATACACATACATATTTGCATTTTTTGGCTGCAAAGTGGAAACTTCAGAAAGAGTAGAATTGCCTGTGTGAACTTCATTTGCCTCTTTTACGGACCTGGAATTGTATATCATATTTGATGAAATAATCACAGCTGTAACTTTTAAATCAGTGGTGCCCTGTGATCCTTCTCCCAGAGCGCTGGGAGACAGGGAAACTTCATTATGGAAATGATGAAAAGATGGACAGGGCAGTGAAAATAGCTGCAGAAGAAGATTCCACCTTTAGTGCCCTGGAGATGTGCATGTGATTACTTAAAAGCATTGTTACCACTTTGCTTGCCTGGCTGCAGGGTGTGTAAAGATGTACCTTCTCACGCCCAGACTCGCTGAGGAACATGTGGAAAATAAAACCCTTGACTGTATCATGTGGCAGTAAAAGTCCAGTCCATGAGCAGTGACATGTGCATGAGGAGCACAGCCAGGACTTTACAGACAGCTCAGACCTTTCCACCTCAGATGTGGCAAATCATATGGCAAGACAAATTAACTAGGAAGCATCCACTGGCCTTGTCTTTGGCCTTGCTTTACTTCACTTTGAATGTTCTTCACTGAGCATACTGGAATGGGAGTTGACAGTGCAGATTGCTACCTTCCTGTTGCTTCCACCACCATATTTTAGACTGGTACATCTTATTTGAAATTGTTTGCTGTCATAGTTAATCTCTTTAAGGGCTTGGAAGAACACTTTAATTAGCCCTGATGAAGTGGCTGGAGCCAAGTGAAGCCTGGTGGCTCTTGTTCTCCTTATGTTTGTGTTTCCTGCCGTGTATTTTTGCTGGCAGAATCTTAAACCTGACTAATTACACTTTGTGGTGTCTAGACATCTTTACCAAGTGCTTCTTTCCTTTCTTACTAGTGCTTATAATTTACATTTGCATGCTCCCTCCATTCACCACACACAATCTTCAGAGAGATATCCCACAGCACTTAAATCTCAAAAAAAAAAAAAAAAAAAGATAAAGACAAGCTTGGGGGAGTTTGGAAACAGTACCATAACAACCAGCCATGATGTCCCAGCTTCTCCCCTTACTGATGGATCTTTCCACCAGTTTTGCATCACTTACATCAGCAAGGGCTCCTTGCAGTAGATTATTCTCTATGCCTCCCGGTCTCCCAGGGAAGATAAATCAGACCTTTCACTGCTGGATCACTGCAGGTTCAAATCAATGGTATCAACTCGTTGCCCACTTGCTGTTTTTTTTCTGTCGCAGAGGAAGAGCCCCAGTGGTGAGGAGAGTTTACTTCTGTAAGAGAAGTCAACACATCATGAGAGTGTAAGTGTTTGCTACTAGTAATGACAGGGCTAACTGCACAAGACAAAATAGTCATGGTGGGATTGTGGGAAGAAATACATCTGTAGACATGGAGCTGTGAAAATTGCATGGGCACATATCAGTGGAAGAGCCTGTGACGGAACAGGGATCTGCTGGTCTCTCTTCAGCGTCTGACCCCCTGACGAGGGTCACATCAGAATGTTACACACGGCACAGGCTTCAAGCTCACCATTAGTCACTCTGACATGTCACCACACTCTAAAATAGCACCTGGAGTTGTCCAGCTATGCTGAACCATCTCTGTCAGGCTGCTCAGCTCCTCTCACAGCACACAGCAGAACACAGGCATGGCCTGGAGTATCACAGGATCAATCCTTTCCCCTTCAGCTGCCTCTCATTTGTTCCCTCTGCCCATGTGGAACATGAAAGCTTTTGTAAGCTGTACTAGAAAGCAAAATCCACCTTCTAACTTGTCCTTCAAGAGAAGAAGCACAAAGAAGCCAGATGCCCAGCATATGACTTAGTAGATATTTGTCTAAGAGAGAACAGATGATCATCTGTGAAAAAATCATCTCGATGTTAATAGAGCCTTAAGGAATATTAACAGACTGCTATAGCTTATGTTAGTCTCTCAAAACTCAGCTGCTTTTGCCTCTGCACATGTTCCATATTCACCCTTCTCCTTCTCTCCTCGTAGATAAAGCCATCAGTCAGATCCTCTTCATCTGCCACTCCATTTCAGCAATTTTCCCCAACTGATGTTTCAATGATACTCCTTTCCACAGTTTAGTCCATAGGAAGTGTAGCATTAATAGACTAATATCTAATATCCAGTTTTGTATCAAGCGGATGGAAAAGGGTTTATTTCCATAGGACCAAAAATAACCTGAAATCATTGCAATTCAATTCCTTGCCTGCTTTTCATCCGCTTGGTAAAATTTGGCCCGTGGTAACTAGGAAAAGAATGCAACAAACTAATTTCCATGCAAGAGCTGATTAGAATCTGTGGAGATGTTTTTGTAGGTGGAATGCTGCTTTACTCCTATCACAGTTGCTGTCTTAAAAATTCATCAAGCCCATTGTAGTAATTATATTAATCACCTTGAAACTCTAGCAGGATGTCACGCATTATGAAGCCATAGTCTGCTATAAAATGACTATTCAAACCTTTTCCCCTCCAGAGAGGACAGTACGTAGCCTTACCTGTGGAGACATTCAGGTCAGAGCTGAGAAGCTGAGTAACCTGTCTTCCTTGAATTCTACAGTGAAACAACTGCATTTGGAGTTAAGGCAGTTACATCTTTTGACACTGAACCAAAAATAGCTGCTTATGTTGATGTGACGGCCTTAGAGTGCTGCGATGAATGAACAACATTTTAATTTTTTTTTTTTGCTGAAAAGCGTTCCTTGTTTTCTAGTAGCTCTGCTAGTTGAAAAAGGACAATTTGCACATGTTGTTTTGAAAATATTCAGGGAAAACATTTCAGAATGATAATGCACAGCCATGAAAATGTGTCTTTAAACCTCCAAACCCAAAAAACATAACAGGAAGTCTTCCAGGGAAGGGCATCTTATCGACTTCTTTTTAAAGCAATGGCTCTGAAAATAGATGCTTCTTGCTTACCTGCCTTCTCACTCATCATGGGACTGGCATTCACTTGTGAAATGCCAGATCAGAAACAAGTACTGCCACTTATTTATAAATACCTCCCCATTAAACACTCTGCATAATGCCTGTGGAAAACAATGTGCCCTGGGTGACTCTCCTCCTCTCACAACAGTTCATGGGCTTCATTGCAATTATTTTCAATGATAATTGTAAAGATAACACCATTTAAATTATCTAATGTTTTATTCAATATTTCGGTGAGTTTCAATTACTTCCAATTATAATTCAACAGCTTTCTATTTAAAACAATTATTGTCCTTTATAACCTGTTTCAAGTCAAATAAATTGTTTGCCTTTATTCCTCCTTGGCGTCTTCCATGGGTATTCATGCTAGATCTCCCTTTGGTTTTCCAGTTCCCCATTAACTTATGTGGCCTTTCATTAACCCATTATTTGCCCTCCCACAATCAAGCCTCTGGAAAAAAGCTGTCAGCACAGCCCCTGAGACAACCACAATCAATTAAACTCATTAAAAATCAATATGATTCAATTACAAGCAACAAGATACAATCCTGGTTGGTTGAATAGTGCCAGGGTACTTGGAGCTAAGAAGAGTCTGCTGGGGCAAGGATGAGTTTCATCCTTAGGAAATGAGGGTGTCACCATGAGTAGTGGTTTCTTACAGGAATATGAACACATGGCAAGTGAGGGGATTATTGCTACTGTTCATCTTAAAACAGGAATACTGTGGGTAGGACCATTCTTTGGTTCACTGACCTCGTGGGGAAATAGTGCTCGAAAGGAAAGAGTCCCCCTAAAACATGCTTGCAGTGTTTTTAACTTATATGATATTTTCTTATTTCTTTGTAGCATAAAATATAATCATGTCCTGTCACAGGAACTGGTTATCCTATGATTTTGAAAAAAGAAAAAAATGTTTGATCGTAAAGCTATTTGAATTTATGAAAAAAACTGCCCTTGGATATGGGACAGGAAGAAACCCTTCACTTGCAAATTGTTGTCTCCTTGCAGCTCTTTGAAAGTGAGTTCCCAGTTCAACAGCTTCACATAACTGTGACAGTTATGTAGAGATATTGGGGAACAAAAGAGTTTGTTTTGTGTAGATGTAGAACAGAGGCACTTTGTCCTTTATTTCACTCAATTTCTAGTTTTTTTGTTGATGAAAACTTGCCACATTTAAAACATTAAAACAAAGTATTTTTTTTAAATGTCTTTTTTTCCCCAAGAGAAAAAAAAAAAAACAACCAAGCACATACAAGTCTCTCAATTAAAACCCACATTTTTTTTAAATCTCTTTTTCCTAGTGGGACATTGCTAAAAATAAAAGCATGTGTTCTTCTGTTTGGATTTTTTGCCACAATGTTTTCATTTACATAAGATTGTTTTTCTACCAAAAAAAGATTTTTTTTTTCTACGTTGGGCTGTAATCATCCATAAAGTTAAAAAAATTCCATTCAGGATTTTTCTCTGGAAATGGAAAATTAGAATAAATCAAAATAGGTCAGAAAAAGATTTCCATTTAACCAAAACAGTACTTTCGAATTAATTTATTCTCAATCAAAACATTTCACTCAGCTCTAATCACTGGACTGAAGTCACCCCGCAGCATTCAGAAGGAGTTGATTTAGGTGCTCCCATGGGTTCCCCTGAATTGGAAAAATAATCAGTCAATCATCTTCCTGCTCTCACAGTTTTCTGTTGTTGAGTAATTCTCCAGATCATACTATCCTCTTGCTGAAACTCTTTGTCTGGCTTATTTTTCTACCTAGCAACGGTGACTGCAGCATCTACGGCCCCAGTCCAGCAAAGCACTTTACACATATTCTTCAGTTAACGTAGTCTCCTTGATGTTAATGAGGTATTCATGTACTTAAAGTTAAGCCCAAGCTTAAGTGATTTGTTGGACAGAGTCCTGAGCACGGGGAAGGGGAGGTGCTGAGAGCCGTTTTATGGAAGTGTCCACAGCTTTAAAGCAGCGTGGCTTGGTGGTGGTCAGAAGTTGTATTGATCTGAGCAAATCAGTTTAGAAATTGATGAAGATCCACTTAAGCATCTTCCATTCAAGGCTCCTCTCTAAGTCGCCTTAGAGCTGATTTTATTAGATGTGCTCTCCAAGCAGCTTGAGAGCAGGGCTTGCTCTGACTCATCAAGCTCAACTCATGAATGATTTGCTGAACTCTTGTAGGTATCTGCAGTGAGGAGCTGCTTGTGCTGGAAATGTGAGATTTGTCCCTGGGGACCCATAAGTAACCACCTTGCTGAAGAAAAGGTCTGAACAAGTAAACTCAACTTCCTGAGGTTTTGTACAAATTATATATTTATAGCAATTTTTGACATCAAAATGATCAACCCATTTTGTTTAAAGCTCCATTTCAGGTCATATAGCCTGGAAATTACTGCAATGTACTCTGCTCTACTATTATTTACATTTACCTCCCACACACACCTTTTTGTGTAGCTGAAGGGCAAAGAGGGTTCTTCCCATCTTCTTGCACTCTGTAATCTTATGGATCCCTTTGATTGTAGTAGACAACATCAATCATGTTATATAAGTACAGCTATACAGTGCAGTGCAGTGATATACCTGTCCCTAGGCATTGTCAGAAAATCCCATGTCTTCCCTACAGAAGAAGAAAAAAAATGTTTTTCTTGAAAGTCACCAATCAATTGCTTCAGTGTTTTCCTGCAGACCTGACACAAAAAAATGTATTTGAAATGTCAATTCAAAATGCCTCGGAGACAAGTTTTCCTGACTGGCAAAAGGAGACTGACAGTGCTATAGAAAAAAATATCCTCTGAAAAACATCAGCCAGTGCCCTTGCATGGTCTGGGAAGCAGCTAATGCAAAAGGATTGTGTAATTTGATGCAGGTCCACCCTTGGGCCAAATGTATTACAGGGTTAGGCTGTATCAATCAAGTACATCTACAGCAAACCCAATTCTCACCTGTTGCACTGAATATCTGCTTTAACCACTCGGATTTGGGTGGGTTTTGGAACAGGTGTAATAGATTGCCACGTGCCTTCAGTTGATCCTGACAAAACTAAATGTGTGAGGGAGTTGTTCTGAGGTCTGTCAGTACCACAAAGTGGCACAGACCATTTTACTGCTTGCATATCAATCTTGTCTTTCTACACAGATAAGTGATGAAATATCGATGCATTAAATCTCTAATTCATTGATTTCAGAATTAGTCTTACTATTTTATCACTGTGTCTGATCACAGCCATCCAGACACAAAGGACAGGGATAAGAAATCCATAAGTACCAGCGTGTGGTTAAAGAACAGCTATTCCAGATAACACACAAACATTAAAACAAGGACAGACTGAAGTC